CCCCCCCCCCCCCACCAAAAAAAACTCTATCGATTAAGAATTGAGAAAACCTACCTTCGTTGACAATTGAATATTTTTTTATTTATTTACTTTGTAGTTTCTTGAGACTTTTATTCGTACTTGTGGGTTAATGTTGCGGAATAGTAGTAAACGAGATGAACCCGACCCTTATAGAGTCTAAAATTAAGTTTTAATCACAATTTGGCTGATAAAGGGTGAGGTTTGTACTTGGTTTCATCTAAGCATACAATTTGGCAGACCTCGTGTCGAGCATGATTGTTTTTTCTAAGCGTAATTGTCAAAAATTGAACTCTGGTTTGACCCTTTTGGCACTTGAGGGTTAAAGTGACTTGAACGTTAGGTAAAGTTAATTGGTTAGAATAACATCACTGCTTTTAACTCATATTTGGTGCAATTTTTACCAGATGCAACAATTCCATTGAGTATTCTATATTTCTATATGTATGTAGGTTAATGATAATCTTTACAGTAAATTTTTAGGCCCTATACTCTAAATTACTTTACCCATGCAAGTGTGTTTTTTTTATTCAGGTCATTTTGTGAAAAGAATATTTTGTTATGGAAATGCTCATTCTAAATATTGGATGTATAATGGTCAAGTTATTATAGAACATAATAAAAATAATAAAAACATCGTATAATCTTACAAATGTATGATTTAGAAACGGTGTGTACAGAAATCTCCCCCATTTGAAAGTAGATAGATTGTTTTTAGGTGTAGTTATTATTTAATTAATTTCTCTGCATGAGATACCGAATACATGCACTGCACGTCTATTTTCATCGATCACGTAACTGTTTATTTTACATTTCAATTTTCATCCACTTCTCTTCCAAGAAAGATTGTCCACTTGTTTACCAAACCATTTGTGGGTTTAAAATATAGTAATATCTTGTATGATATTTGGGTGAATTTAAATGTTTGTGATTTATGAGTAGAGACCAAAAAAACATTGTGTATTAAAAAAATTGGAAATATGCAACGTTCGAAGTACAGAGACCTATCCAAAAAAGGTATCAGCATTGGGAATGGTGATGGGCAGTTCTATTAAAATTCTTATTTTAAGCTTCTGTTGTCTCCCCGTTGGGATTTTGTGATAAGGCAGGCAATCAATATAATCCCAGAGGTGGTTCATATTAATTATCCAAACTTTACTCTTTGAACTAATCAAATTTAGTGAAATACTCCGTAGGGTATTACAAAGTAAATTGTGTGGAGTCCTCCAAGAGGACTAGAAGAAGAAGAAGAAATGAGAATTAGGGGTGTGGGCACCAATACATGTTGGGATTAACCTTACAATTTTCTTTTCAAGAGGTTGTGGTTTGTGTTTGTGTAGATGATACGGAATGGATACGGACCACATATTTGTTTCCTTAAAAAGAAAGTGGAAGAAAATTTTGGGACAACCCAAATACGAGAGAAGGGAGATAATTATGAGATGGAAGAAGCATGTGGTTAACTTTTATATATTTGCACGAACTAATTTAATTATTGTATACTTTGCGTGTCAACGTTTGACTAGCAATATATAAAAATATACAATGAATTAAAATATGAAAATTATAACAATTATTGGTATCGAAAAGCACTTTAAGTTTATTATTTTTAATATTTTTTCTAATATATTCTAAGAGATATTGTTGGTCAAATTTTAAATTCGAAAAGTGAACCATGACATTTAAATAAGAATGTAATCATATTAAGATTTTGATTACATATTGAAATTTAAACAATCTGAAAAATTTACATTCAAATTTATTAAATTTTTATTATATTCTCATTCTATAAAATTTAAAATTATTTTTTCATATTCAATGAAGTTTTTCAAAAATGGAGTAATTTGGAAAACACCAATTAGAAACGATCATTTTAATAAATTCGTATAAGTTTTGATGACCATTAGTTAGGAGACTATAGGGAAAAAAATAAATGAAGATTGATCATGTAATTAGTAAACATGCAACTTAATTTAGAACGGAAAGAGGAAGTACGAAGATGAACAAAACACATTGGTTAAACTTACTATGACCGTCTCAAAGAGCTCTTGACATTTTGATCAAATTTCTACACGCTTGAAAGATAGAGTATTATATACGCCTTATGCGGAACACATTTTGATAAAATAGTTAAACCTTAAAGATTTATTTGTAAATTTTGACTTTAAGGTCAAATAGTTAAGTTTTTTTTTGGGACGGAAGGAGTAGTATTTACGTTTGCACCTGTCCTAATATACACTTCAAATTTAAATAAATTCTCATATAATCTGATCTGAATATAGTAATAATAAATAATAAAAATACTCCGTAAGTTAAAGAAAATATGATCTAAGTGTATATAAGACATTTTTTAAGTCACAAAAAAAAATCATATTCATTATTCACGTGATCAGAATTTGTCTATTATTTTTTCTTATTTTGGTTACTTGTTCCATGAAACAATATAATTTTGTCATTTCATACTCTCGTGTAATTTTTTTTAGTGATTTTATGACTCTTTTTATCCCAAGTGCTTTGTATTTAAATATCATTACTTAATTCACATGCCAAACCTTTTTCTCTATTTTTTTAAATTTTGTTAATCATTTATTAAAATACTCTAGAATATACCCCGAGTGCCAATGTCTTTTTTTTTTTTTTTTTTTTTTTGCGGTAAAAATGTCAAATGCAACATGGAGCGACTATAAATGTAACGTTTCCCATTTTGTTATTTTACCAATGGCTTTCCTATCCCCCCACTGGACAGGTCGGCCCATACCCTTCCCCTGCCCCACCTTTTTCCCCTT